TTTCTGAATAAGCCAACAATCTGAAAAGTCACACTCTGTGCATGGTGTTTTGGAAGACTTAAGTTCTCAAGACGTTCTTGTGGCATTGAGCATCCATCCAACTGGGAATTTGTGTGATTGGACTGGGTAGATGAGCTAAAGCACAAGGCCACGTAACTGCTTGAGGATTTGCACCTTCTGTGTTCCAAAACACACGCAGAATTTCTTATCTGCCTGGGTTCGTAAAGTGTAATGCAAGTGGAGATGCTAATTAGATAAGGCGGTTTGATCTTCTGTAGTGGAGCCCATCCCATTTTACCTGCTCTAGTGAATGGCTATGAAACCCATGCCAAAATTTGTCTCATCCCACGCATTCCACCTGGAGAAGAGTCACTGCAACCACTTTCAGAGTGAGTTTGGGCAGCAGACAGCAGTGCTGAGGGTCAACAGGCCCTGCTACTGACTTAAGGGAAGGTCAGCAGGGTAGGTCTTTTGTTTCATTTTTATCCCTTAGTTTTAAAACAGACCAGTGTAAAGAGCAGAACTTATTTAGTATATTTAGTGAACCTCTTCTGGTCCACTGGGGGAAAAAAAAGTATGGTCATTTACTTTAAATATATGCAGTCATGTTTTAGCACAACTGAGGGTTTTATAACTTTTGGTTCTTGCTTTCAGCATGTATATATTTTAAAAGAAAAATTAAATGGATCGTGTTGATAAAGTCTGACAGCAGGATCAATAAATAGAGCTCCAGTCTCTTATTGATTTGGGGGATGTAATGGTTTGCTTAATTTTCTGAAGTGGAAAATTACAGTTCCTTCTGAAATTAGGGGTTTCAGTAGCGATCTGTGTTGGGACCCTGCACAGGGCTCTGATCCTTTGATCAAAGTTGTCATCCGCAGAAGCGGCTTTTTGATCCTCAGGTCGAATTATTCTGCTCGGCTCATCATTACCCTGAAAAGGTTGTTGCGGCCTTGCTGCAATTACCTGCTGCAGCGTGCACAGGGCGCATCCAGAAAGCCTCAGCTCCTCCGAGGCGCAGCTCCACTTCACTCCCCAGCCTGCCTGATACGTGAAAATGCTGAACCAGAGCACCCCATATGTTTTTGTATGGCCAAAACTCCTATTTCAAGCCAAGATCCACAGTTTTTTTTATAAGAGGGCAAGGCTCTGCTCACTAGAAATTCCCTTGTGGCTGTTTAATGTTTCTCTGAATTGGAACCTTTTCTGGGGGTTCCTAGTGCCTATGTGTTTTGTCTTATTTAAAAATTAAAGGCAAAATGTTTACGGGAAGGGATATATTTAAATGCAACGGTACATAATGTCTACTTAGGAAAGGAAAAAAGATTCTGTGGTTTAAAGCATAGTGCAAAAAAGACCTGGATTCGAGCGCAAGTTCTACCCTGGTATCTCAAGGGAACACAAGGTTGGCAAAAACCACCTATTCCTCTGTGCCCTTCTAGGCTTCTGCCAGAAGGAAATGAAAGAGGGAGGTATAAAGTGAAAGAGAATTTCCAAATGAATTTATTCGGTGTATGAAAAAGTACATTTGTGGATATATTCTGAATCAGTTCCATTGATCCAAGTGCATGAGAGACTGAAATAAGCATCAACAGCTGTTTAAAAAAAAAAAAATTAGTCCATTTGGCTCCAGTGGGGGACGTAGGGTCGATCTGTTTTGCCCAGAGAGCTGGATTCGTTAAAACCAACGAGAACAAGACCAGCGCAGGCGAACCCGAGGCACCCCCTGCCTGGGAAGGGGCTCGCGCGCTGGGGCGGGCAGGGTTTGCCGTGCCGGGATTGCAGCCGGGCAATGTGGCTTTGCCTCCTGGAGCCAGCAGAAAGAAAAACATGGTTCCTGCTTGCTGGAGGCCCCCCTCTTCTCCACGTGGGTGGGTTCTGCAACACGTAAGGTCTGAGTTAGCTGGGACATTATGGATGGCCCGTGCCCTGGGGGAGGCATTTTATATGGGCTGTGTGTATTGTTCTGTTTGTATTTGCTTACATAAGGCCATGCTGCTTTTTCTTCATTTCCTTCAATCTCTTTACCCAAACCACTGGATTTTCCCATGTAACCTTATTCTCTTCTCCTGTCCTTCTAAAATTCCTTTTCTCCCCCAAAGTTCGCCTCCTCCATCTTTTCTGCCCTCGTCTCACTTTCCCCATGCAGCCTCTCCCTTCCTCTTCCTCAATCAGCCATTTCTCTTTCTGTTTTTCTGCTCCTGCATTTCCGTTCTCTTGAGCTCTTTCCGCATGCCATGAACTCAACTCTTCTTTGTTCCTTCTAGAACTTTTCTCATTTTCCTTTCTCCTCCCTTCCCCTTGTGTTACCTTCCTCTCAAACCCAGGCTCTCCACACGGCCCTTCCTCCTGACCCAAAAGACTGGAGGAGCAGGCGGAGGCGGCGGCGGCGGCAGCTGCCTGTGGTGCGACACTGAGCACGTAGACCCCGTAGGTGGCACCGACGGAGCGCTCTCAACTCCCCTGTCCCCACCGCCTTCGCGCCTGCTCCTGCCTGAGGGCAGCTGCATGCTCCAAAACACCTCAGCGCTGCTCGGGGGCTCGTCCGTGGGCCTGCAGAAGCTGCTGAAGTACTGCAGGTTTCTCGGGAAGTCTCATAGTGGTGTCATTGAGGCAAGATAAAAATTTTGGAGACAAGCTCTTTGTGCCCTCTCATTTTTGGAAAACTTGACTAGTATGCTCATATACTAAGAAAATGGGAAATAATGGTGTTTTTTTTTGCTATGTATATTTAATTTTTCTTCCACTCTCCTCCTTCTCCCATGCTCCCTAATATACATACCCTTTTGGTATTTATTCTTCTTACAATTTCGTATTTGATTCTGCTGGAAATGCCTTTTTTTAATATGACTGGAACCATTTGTATAATGGGTAATGTTGCTATGTCATGCTATGTAATGTCTATTTTTTGTCAGTCTTAACACCTACTATTTGAGAAATGACTCTTATCAACTGTAGTGGTATACAGTGCAGCAGACTATTGCTACTTGAGATTTTTTAAAGCACATATAACACAGACTGAAATTTCAAGAAAAATTTCCCATCTCCTACATACACTTCTGAAAACCATTGCTGGCAGCCCTTGAATTTGAATGGGTGGATTTGGAGATGATTTTTCCTCATTTTCATTTAACCAGTTAAATCATCAGCCCAACAAGCTCTTCTGGAAAGGCTCTTTTATTTTTGTCTTCCTTTCTTTTTCTCCCCTAGTTACTTTTAATCATTTACAAGTATTTTCTCACCTCTGTGTCCGCTTTTCAGTTTAACTCCATTCTTTATTGATGCTTTGGGACAACATCTAAGGAATAATTAATGAAAGGAGTGTTTAATTCACATACTCTACTACTCTACAATTGTGTAGAATTGTTTTCAAATGTACTCTTTTGCAACTTGCAGAAGGTGGAGGTGGAACTAGCTAAGCACGAGCCAGGCATCTTGCTGCACATTTGACTTGAAACTGAATTTTTGAGCAATCAGCCTTGTATTGCCTTTATTTGTGCTAGTAGTAGCAAATTTTGTTGTAGGTATCAGTCACATAGTGAAACCTATTTTTTTGGTAGCATTACTAAGCAATAGAAGAGGCTTTTGATGTGGTGAAGACCTAGAAGTCAGAACTGTTCCTCTGTGCTAGTCATTCTTACTCACATCACTTCTAACAAGACTGACTTCAGTTAAACGAGATGAATCTAAGCACAGAAAGATTTTTTTTTTCAGGCATGGGACAGCCTACAATGTGATTTGAGCAGTTTTTTTGGATACATTTTAAAATATAATTTATTCCAATCATCCCCTTTTCATTATTTTTGCACAAAAATAATCCATCTGTGTTTCTGTTTGGTATCAGCAAAGCAAAGTTTGTGTTCTTTAGAAGCTGAATAGGAGGAAGGAAACTCCATGACCGTGGTTTTATGCTCTGCATGTAATATAGTCATTTATTAAAAGCTGTATATAGTATCTAACCCTTTGTATTTTTTCAAGTCTATCTGTGGAGCCTAAAATGGAACTCTAAACTATTTGGGGACTATAAAATGTCATAAGTATATTTTAATAGTTTAAGTTCCATGTTTGAAAGTCCAAGATTTTGATGATGAACCGTGTATTTGTAAAGGGGCATGAAGGCTTTAATAAAAGAAAAATCCAGAAGAGGTTTCTGAACATGCAAAAGAACTCATCAGAGAATGATGACTTAGGAAAGACTGGTCCTTCACACAGCCTTTCAAGAACAGCCTTTGGTTTAACAGGGAAACTCATTAATTGTTTCTGGGCAATGAAGTTTTTTGTTTGTTTGTTTGTTTTTTTCCTTGTAATTTTGGTATGGCCATTCTATTTTCTGTGTTTCCTCCCTTGAGTAAGAGAGTGGGAGAGATGCAGGAAACCCCAACAGAATGCTACTATCTTTATTCTAAGAGAGAACAAATAACAGTTTATAAAGCAGTAGTACAATCTAAGGGCCAAATGATGAATTAATGGAAACTTGTATGTTGTTTTGGAGACTAAGCACATTAGATTGAATTGTTTCACAACCACCATGCCTAATTATTGTGTCTGCCACATTCATCTATTTAAATCATTCCCAACTTTTGGATTGCTGCCTAGAATATTACTGCAGTACTGTTTCAACTGGTTATTCCCTTGTCACGCATAACTTCATGAAGGAGCCTGGCTTGGTTTGGAGAAAGGAATACGAGCAAGCACTGGCAGCCTGTTTATCGTTTCTGATAAGAAGTGATGATAGGTTTCATAATGTTGATTCAAATAAGTTGAATGTGAACTGATGTTGTATTTGTTTTGTCAGGTCATTGGTTTAAAAAGTGCCTTTGTGAAGTCACTTTTACGAGAGAGGACTGCTACACCCGTGCTTTCAAAATACCGTCTTTGCCAGCTCGACATTGCCTTGACCTTGCAAGTGGCAGAAGATACCTCAACCATCTCGGTTTGCCAATTCATTGATGTGAAACAATCTTCAGTGTGAAAAGAAGACGACGACGGAGATCTATCACTGGGACACAAGCAAATGACTGCATTGCATTTCTTGTGTAATCAACACCAGCGAGTGATCTACAAGGGGTTGCAGCTCTCTCAAGGAGTGCCATTGCTTTGAAGAACCTGTACTTAAAACTGGAGTGTCAGTGACACACTCAACGGACCCCAGCATTTTACAGACAGAAATGCTACTGAGCATGTTTGTTTTCAGCCAAAAGTCTACAAGTGGGACTTAATGATTGATGAGTGACTGCTGATAAAGTTTCTCTACTATTTTTCCTTTGTGTGTGTTGGACATTCTTAATTGTCCCCCACCACTTTCAAAAACAAAAAACAAACATTTCCTTTCCAGTTGGAATTATTTTTTTCTGGTTAATATTTTTTGCTGTTCTTCCCTTTTCCCCTCAGTTTTTTTGAACTAACTTTGGCATCATTCACTTGACAGTAATTTACAGAAGCTAAATCAGCTCTTCATCATGGCTTTGAATGTGGCTCCTGTCAGAGATACAAAATGGCTAACGTTAGAAGTGTGCAGACAATTTCAGAGGGGAACTTGTTCACGCTCTGATGAGGAATGCAAATTTGCACATCCCCCTAAAAGTTGCCAGGTTGAAAATGGAAGGGTTATTGCCTGCTTTGATTCCCTAAAGGTAAGGAAGAACATTGCATGTATAATGAAAAGGCTAACGTATCAAATGTAAAAAAAAAAAAAAAAAAAAAGACCACCAGTTATAGCTCAAATTGATTAAGCAGTAAGTGATTAGTTCTGGTAATACATATATTGATGCAAGTGCTTTTTGTCTGAGCTTTTGTTTATTGGAACTTTGAAAAGATTTTTAGAGATTCTCTTTTCTAGTGCCAATGTGGTGTTTACAAAATTGCATACAACTGTGGGATACAGGACGGTTTACAGGCAATATGACAATTGCATTCGCTAGAGTATCTTATATGATTGCATTCACTAGAGTATGTTATATGATTTATCGTTGTTCCATTGCAAATGAAAATATGTGGCGGCTTAAACACTTGGCCATTAGCAGAGTGATAATGAAGCAAATTATGTTAAGAGCAGAGATTCTTGTATTTAAAGCCACAGAAGTAAGAAAATCGGCCATGGATTATGTTTCATCTTGTGGAATGGCAGAGAACAGAATAACGTTATAATTATAAATAATTAGCAGTGCAGGTAGTAGTTCGAGGGCCAGCGCTGGGTGCGCAGCACCTGGGTTGCTGTGACTTGTGCTCCTGCGCCTTTGCTGCGCTGATGGCTCTGTGCCCTGGCATCCGTGATGCTCCTGGTTCATCCTGCTCGACATCCCTGACACTCCGAGCTGGGACTTCTGCGCAGGGATGAGAATCATCCAAGAATCAAAACTCAAGTCATAGCCTGAGCTAACAGTACTGTGAAGGGAGATCCTAAGGGATCTCCAGGGATAATTTGCTGCCAAGCATTGTTACTGCTCAGTGGAGAGAAGTCTGAAGTGATTTGAAAAAATGCAGTTAAAGTAAACAAGCGTGCTCTGTTCCAGCGCAGGCGGGTATCAACTCTGACAGGTTTGCTCCACCAAACCTTCCTTGGCGGCTCCAGTCCTGCTGCGGCCGGCAAAGGCAACGTGCTCCTCGTGTGCCGCTGGCGCTCCGGGTTGCCGCCGGCTGTATCCTTAAGGGTGGGATTACACCCAGGTGGTGGCCTGCAGGAGCAGCACCGGGGGTCCAGGTTTCTCTCGGCGCCTCTGCTGCGGGCCGAGCGTGACGCAGTGAAGGGCTCATAATGTCTTCAGTCGCTGCCGCTCTTTGCTGGTGCGCATGAGTCGCAGCCTCGCGCCCAGGAACGTTACCTGACCCTTCAATGCATAAAAAGCTTTTAGGAGTCGCTGCAAGCGCACGGCTCCTGGCTATCTCAGCTAGTATCTTCACATCCATTAGCCTCATTATGCTGTGCAGGGCGTTCGTAAGGTGGGGTGTGTGTGCACCAAGATTGGGCCTGGTTAGCGCCGCGTGCTTCCACGGCCTGCTGGGAGGCTCCTGCCATTAGTCAGGTAAATTTATTTTATCTATAGCTTTCTAAAATACTGGTGTTAATCAGAGTTACAGTCTGAAATTCAACAAGCAGCGTAATGTTTTATGTAAATAAACAGAACAGTCTAGAATTATAGATAAAATCAGCATTTAATTAAAAAAACAAGAACTGTTTTCCTTGCTGAACAGTGAGCCACATATCAGTGCAGGCAGTGATTTAGAGTTTATTTACACAATATCTAGTTTTGAAGACTGAGCATTTTTACTGTCTTGACTGAGTGTAGCTGCTGTAAAAATAACTTACAGTGAGAAAGTTGAGTTTCTTCGAACAAATGTCTTCCTATGCAGAGAAAAGGAAGAATGTTTTTTATGCAGAGATTGAAGTATTTGTGTTGCTTTGAGTGTTGTTTTGTCAGAATCCCTGTTCTGGGAACAAACGTCTTGTGTGCCCTCCTCTCCTTTCCAGGTTTCTAGGATAGAAGAGATAGCTGGTACCTATCTGCTGGACGAGACCAGAAGTGTCTTCGTTCTGACTCTACCCATAGCCTCACGGTCACTCTGAGTTAGTCCCACCTGGGATTGCGGGACATATCCCCCCTGCTTCCCCGGCATGCAGGGCACCAGGCTGGGAAAGTGCGGTTAAAACCAAGTTGTTGCCGCTGTTGTTGCCACTGCCATGCGGGGAAGAGCTGGGCAGCAGGATGCCCATGCAGCACGCAGGGTTTGGCCAGCGGCACGCGGGTTTGCCTCTTTCAGGCCTAGAGCCATGGCCTTGGAGCCAGGCTGACGGAATTACAAAACTGTGTCAGATTCCATATTTTCCTATGCTAAAGTAGTTTAACTATTAAACCAGCTTTGCTGTTTGCAAGCAAAAGGTGAGCGGAACCCTTAACTCCAAAGGGTTTCTTTGCTCTGAATAACCTGTCCTTGGCAATACTTGCCTTTAAACCCAGCAGAAGTTGCAACAACCCGGTGGACTAATTACAGCTCACTGTTGAAGGCTGTCTAGCCTCTAAATATCCTTCATCCGCAAGTTGCTCGGGGCTAGACAGAAATAGCTAAGGCCGCGTGAGCTCGGTTTCTCTTGCCAGAAACGTGTTGGTGCGGGTGCACGGGCTCCTGAGGTGGAATTCCGTATTTGTTTCCCACTCTCCGGTGAAGGACAGAGACTGGTCTGTCCTAAACGGGGCATTTCTGGGATCCAGGAGATGTGGCTGGGTTTGGAGATCAGTGTCTGCTTCCTGGCCATCACTGTGCTCCAGCAACTTGCGGCCCTGCCTCAGCGGCCGCGTTCCTGAACTGTGCTACGAGCACACCCGGACCATCCCAGGCCGGCGGCCCGAGGCAGCGCAGCGTGCGGGTGAAAGTGGCTCTGCCCTGATGTGGGTGCCTTTGCCTGGCGCAGGTTAAGGAGCGATGAAGCCAGGGCCGTGCGGGCAGAGGGGGAAGCGCCGCTGCCGCCAGAGCCTCGAGCCTGGGCCTTGAGCTGTGCCTCGCCGCGGCCTTGAAGCCTCTTCAGAGGCCTTGCCGGTACTGTTTGCTTCTCCTGCAAGCTCCTGTTTGGATCTTGCAGTGTTTGTGCTGTGGAAGGCAGCTGTGAAGCCCGAATTTCAGTAATTCCTCCTTTTATGCTTCTATACATCCTGCTGGCTTTGAGTGAGCTTAGTTTTTTTTAAGTTTTGTATGCTCATATGGGTTCCTCCAAGTTGAACACTGCAAGCAAACCTGCTTTTGAGTATTGCTTGAAGAACAAAATCCTTCCAGAGGAATATTAACATGTAATATGGTCTCTGGGGACAAGAAAATGCAGCCTTCTCTCTATTTGAGCTGGCTTAAAAAACATTGAAGTGAATAGTGAAGTTTAGGAGAGGAAGAGGGGGGAAGTTTGGCAGATAAGGAAATACAGTCACAAGTTTTTACTAGAAGCTGACTTGTCCATTTCCACAGACAAGCCCTGGGGTTTTAAATTCTGGTCTAATTTCCCCTAAGATTTATACCTTTTCTGCAGCTCAGCTAGTAGAAGGATATGTTGTCAAAGCTAGCATAGATAATGGAAGAAGTATTCTAAATATATTGTCATGGCAAGTTTTGTGGTAGTAATAAGAAAATGAAAGCTTCTTTAGAGACACAGATTTTTTTTTTTTGATTTTTTTTTTTTAAGTCTATTTACTAGTGTCTAAATACTTTGGACTGTTCTATTTATTGAGCCAGCAGACTAGTGTGAACTGTTAATTTGCATTTTCATGAAAGCCTTTTAAGAATAAGCCTATCTGGTCTCATTTAGCTCTACAGAATAAAAGGTAATTGAAAACTGTACACAGAGACCTGTTTACAGAGTTAAAAGGGTTCCAGGAAAAAAAAAAGAAAAAAGAAAAAAAGAAAAGAAATTTTAGGAACGTCTACTTTGTTGAAATATCTGGAACTGAAAAGAAGCTGTTCAGGATGGACTTGATTTTAGTCCAAAAAACAAACAAAAAACAAACAAAAAAAAGCCTTTGTAAACTGAGCAGGCCGTTTATAAGAGTGTGATTTCGCAGTTAGGATGCACTAACTAGTCATTTGCATTTCTGTGATTCTCTCGTGGATCTCAACATTTTACAAATATGATGGAATCGGGATCGTGTCGCACTTTGAAGCAGGCGATAGCTCGTCCCGCTTTGCGGTTGAGGCGGATTGCAGATGAGCACCAGGCACAGCAGGATTGGCTAGAATTGCCTCTACCAGAAAACGTTTTAATGAGCTCTCGTAGCGTTTTAGTTGGCTGAAACCCTGCCTGCCCCACAGCTGGACAGTGTCAGCCTGTTCAAATACTGGGTGAGTTTACGGGCTGTGCCTGGGGCTGGCCGGACACCGGAGCATGTGAGAGCCTTTCTCCAGGGCTGCAGGACCGGCTTCTCCTTCTGACACCGTGAGCGTGGCCTCCTCTGCTGCCCAGCGACATAATTTCAGTAGGATGGGGAAAGCTGTGCTTTCGATATCCTTAGGCTTCGGGGACGTCAAAGATGTAGAGGTGGAGGATTCAGAGCCCTGATCTCCCCCTGTCCCTTTTCTGAGCTATCAGTGTGGTACCACTGCAAAACACAGTGTGTCCACTTCCTTGCTTCCTTGCTTCCTCTTTTAAAGGTTACAAGTTGCAGTCTGAGAAGACCTGATGGAAGGTTTCTGGTTTGCTGCAGCTCAGAAATGGTAGGCATGAAGAGCGAGTACTAGTGAAAGCCAACTTCACCTTACTGAGACTTGACAACATGGGCTCCCTCTATATTCAGAATAAAAATGGCCATTCTGGGTCAGAAAAAGCCTCATTTTAGTGGGGCCAGTACTGACCCAGTAGTGAATATACAGGATGCAGTATGGGCAAACATCTAATAATTTCCTAGACTGCTCTCCTATGCTGCTTAAGGAGTTTGAGAGCCAGATGCCATATGGTTGTACTTAGATTTTTCTCTGGAAGAAGCATGTCTCTCTCCACTGAGTTCAAAGGAAGTCTCATTAGTTTCATTGGTCTTATTTATACTTAGTCCGTGACGGTGCAATTCCAGGGGTAGGTAAGGTGGCTTTTTCAAGCTATGGGACTTCTTGGCTCACAATAAAGTGCTAGAAGTTAGATGTTGCTTTAAATTATGTCATGTTT